CTCTGCTTCCCCCAAGGTTTCTCATTATCTTTCTGTTTAGGCAAAGAAACGTGTTCTTCGTTCTGAGGAGCCTTGGAAAATATCAGAATTTCTAGTAACTTTGATGTTTTAATTCTATTTTAAAGGGACTTGGCAATTTCTGCTCCGACAGGGAGCGGGAAGACGTTATGTTACGTTATTCCAATAGTAAACGCTCTCACTTGTTGGGTCCCTTCCTGTGGCGTCTATGCTTTAATTGTCGCTCCTGTCCAGAGTTTGGTTGTACAAATTGAACGTGTATGTTTTATCTTTCACTGTTCAGAAGAAACTTCTTTTGTTATAGGGGATTCATTTTGAAGAATGTAAGATTTTTAAAGTAAACTTCAAGATAAGAATTTTTGGAAAACTAGGCTGAAACAAGTTTTCACAGTAAAAACAATTTTGCTATTTTCTGGGATAACTGCAGAATTAATTCTTAGGAATTTGAAAGATTCAACTGTTTTGGTATTCCAACAGCCACCTTAAGCGGAAGCAGTGATCCTGCAGTGGAAAGGCGCCAGCTTGGAAATGCAGTAGTTGTTTTCAGTACTCCTGGTCGTCTTATTGACCATCTTCTTGACCCTGACTCGAAGTTTGATCTCACTTCACTAAGGTGATTGTCTGCGAGTATAGTTTTTTGATAGCTTTATTTTATTCTTTGCTAGCAACCGACATCGTTTCGTACAGTCATAGGAGTAAGCTTTCAGATATTTAGTAATTGATGAAGCTGATCGGATGCAACAAAATGCTCGTTTGGAATGGCTTGATACTGTTGAGAAGGCTGCAAAAAGTAAAATTAATATAATGATTTTTGTTTCCAAATCTACTTTAGTAGTTCGTTATTAAAAATGATCATAGGAATTATGAAAATTAGTATCTTTCTGAAAAAAAAAAAAAAACGTTTGTTTAGCCGGAAAGGTATGGAACTCTCTTGATAGTGTTTACAAAGCAAGATATCTACAAAAAATTCTGGTTTCTGCAACACTTTCTCGTGACGTTGAAAAGCTGCATGTGTGGTGTTTACGCTATCCCAAGCTTTTCCGGTAGTAATTTTTTTTGCCCGTAATTTATTTGGTTACAGACATTTTTATTTTGATTTTTATAATCACTTTCTACTGTAGTGCAACAAAATTTTCTGCGTGTGAAGTAGAGAAAGGAACCGAGAGTGAAATAAATGCTGACATTGGTGCAGTGATAGTACCCAGCTCATTGAAACATAAATTAATTGTGACTGTTTCGACTATGAAACCCTTGGCGGTCTATTCAGAAATTTCGAATAATCCGGATTGGCAAAAAATCCTTATATTTGTGAACAGCAGGTAAGTTTGACAATTTACCTTGAGTTCAGCATTATATGTCATCCTGTTCATTGAATTTACCTTATATATATCAGGTTAGCTAGTCAGCGTCTGACGAAGGTTTTACAATTACTTGGAGCAGGCAGTTTTCAAGTTGAAGAGTTGTCTGCCAATTTATTCGGTCGTAGAAGATTGAAAGTGTTACGAAGGTTTGCCAATTTTTCTCAATCTTTTTTTGGATGTAGGCTTTTCTTAGCTATTAAATTTAGGTTTGCGAAAGGAAATACGAGAGTTTTGATTTCAAGTGATGTCCTCTCTCGTGGTATCGATGTTCAGAATATTGATGTTGTATTTAACTATGATAAACCGCAAAATGAGAGGCTTTTTGTTCATCGTGTTGGTAGGACTGCACGTTGCGGTAAGGAAGGTGCCGCAGTATCAGTTGTTTTACCGGATGAGGTTTGTGTGGATCCTCTCTTGTTTAAAATCGTCCGCATAGCAGGCTTTGCTTTAAGGCTTAGTACTTTGCATGGAACTTTACAAAGAGCACATTTTAAAAGGCAGATATGAATCTCGTTTTTACTTTGCTTTTATTTTTTTTATAGAAACTTGCTTTTGACAAGATGTATCAGTCGTTGAGTGGTGCAAAAGATTCCGAAAGTATGGTTTTTAACAAACCAAAGGAGGGTCCTTTGCTAGACAAGTACAGAGCGGCTTTGGAAACATTGAAGAAATCAGTTGAAGTGAAGGAAAAGAAGGTAGAATTTGTTTTAACTTAAGACAAAAACTTTGTCATATTAGGATAGAAGAACTTTAAGTATTGTTGGCGGATCAGGTGCAGCAGAATCAGTTTTAGGATTAAATTGTAATTTGCGGCTCAAACTCACCGCTTTAAAAAAAGTTTATTTATAAGAAGAGTTGTCAATAGAATGATTGCAAGAGGTTGATTTGCGTAGTCTTGTTGATGGAAATGTATCTTTCCATCAAAATATTCACTTTTACTCGCTGTACTTTTGCTTTGCTTAATTAGAAAAGGGGTAGGGGACCCGTTTCTGTTTTTTATTTTTAAATTTTTGTGTTTTAATTGTTCTTTCACTTTTGTTGATGCTGCAGGTGGTTAAAGTATTGACGAATTTGATCAGTGGAAATATGGTTTGAAATTTTCGTGCTAAATTAAGGTGTCATTAAAACTATTGATATCTTTGTGACCAAAGTTTGGATAAAGAGCGAGTGGCTGTTTTTGTAGATTTGAGTTTTCTGTCAGTTTTCTACCTACTTGGCCTCTAATCTAAAATTGCAGATTTCGTTACTTTTTCTTTATTTTTTGTGACCAGTACTGCTAAATTTTTTTCAGGAGAGGAGATGAATTAAACAAAACTGTGGGACTGCGAAGCCACTTTTGGGGGAACATTTTTTAACGTGGTCTCTCGTTGAAAAATTGTTTGTCATAGTTTTGCATATTCTGGAATAATCCAGCTATTTGATTGTCAGTAATCTGATATCGTCAGATAAATATTCACCGTGCCTTCCCAAAGTTGTTACCGCTGCTTGGTAAAGAAAACTGCGTGTTATGGACGATACTTTTTACATTTTCACGTTGCTAAGTAGATATTTAATATTAATCCTCCATGTGCATTAGTTAATCGTCACGCTTTCAAACACCGCTTGATATTTTTCATTTCTGATTCGTTAGTTCGTTGTAGAATTTGTTGTGTACAGCGCAAGTGGGTATTTCAATTTAGGCAAACTGCTTTGGGCTGCGTTACTAACTGGAAGTATGTTATTGGAATGTAGAACGTTTCTTTCTGATTCTTCTAGGTTACTCCTGTGGCATCTAGGTCGTGCTAATTTGTTTTATTTTTGGTGGATGCTTGATGAGTATCGGTAACCGCTAGCACTATGACTACAAATTATTTCATGGCTGATTTGATTGAGGAGACTTTATCCATGAAGATGGATTTTGACTGGAACAACATATCCCTCTACGTTTCCCTGCAAAAACACCAAGCATTACTGAATGAAGTATGTTCTATTAGAGGTCTAAAGAAATCTACTTCTAGTCTTTAGGTGGGAATTTGGCAGCAGTTCTTTACGGTTGTAGGCATTAGTCTCTATCTTTAGTCTTTTTTCGTGCTTTTTTTATCTGTTAAAGAGTGATGCCATGGTTTACACTTGGGGTCATCCGTGGTGTTTTTTAGTATGCCGAATGTTTGGCTGCCCGAGCCTTTTTGAGGATGGCTGATCTGAAATATCATCTTGAGGAGCGTGCAAATGCTGAGTTTATGTCGCCGAACGGCAAGTTGCCTTTCCTTAGGCTTAAAGGGACTGGGAATAATGAAGCGATATTTTCGGAATTTCTTTGTATAGTTGATATGGCATCAAAGAAGGTTATGTTGCTTTTTCGTATCGGCACTTTTTCTGGTTAAGTGTTCTTTGTTTTTTGTTTTACATCAGAAGATGGAATTTTTCGTCTTGTCCGGCTAGCAATCAGTAACAAATAATATTTCCTAAATTATAAAGTTTAGTTTGGGTTAGGACGTGTCAGCTTTGAACCCTCTTACCACTCTATTTTATCTTGAGAACAAGGCGGCTTAAGGGGTCAGTTGAGCCTTTGCATTTTACTGTCTTCTTCAACTTCTTAGGCTGAATAATGATTATTATGAAGAAGCGAAAAACGAAACAGTTTACAAAATTACTTTTTGTTTCGAAATTCAGATGTCATTTTGAGGGGTGTCACAAACTTACAATTCTAACCGTAGACGGTTTCTTAGTAATATCATTGTTTAGGTTTCAAAAGTCATGGCGATTTTTTCTTAGTTTGGGTGTAAGGAGGATAACTTGCTTGACAAAGCTCTACTACAACATGTTAACTTTTAAGGGTGTCCGCCTTACAGCTGGATTTGTCGATGCAGAGCTGGCAGATATGAAAGCTCATATTGCTATGATTGAGGAGATGCTAAAGACGGCAGAGGTTTTATTTATTTCATAATCTTTTTTTTTACTCTTGTTTCTTTTGTCTATCTTATTGTCTTACTTATAGATCTACATCGTTTGGGCAGACGAAAAGACATATTCACGAACTACTTGTGAAAGATACGGTTCTGTTTTTAGTTGGCCATTGAATTATATTCTTCCCATATTGAAAAGGAGGGAAATGTTGGCTTACTTGAAAGCTCTGGGTTGGGACAAGAAACCAGAAGAGTTTGTTATTGATTCTGCTGACCGATGTTTTAAAAGCCTGTCAGCAAAACTTGGGCAAAACAAGTAATTTTTAAAAGAAATTACTTTTTCCGTTGCTCTGTTCTAAAATAATTATTTGCCATGACTAACTATTAATTCTTTGTTTTTTAGATATTTCATGGGTGAGTTTCCGACCCAGTTGGATGCATTGGCGTTTGGACATCTGTACACAATTTTAACTACAGAAATCCCGAACATGGGACTAGTAAATAGTCTCCGAAAATTTTCAAACTTGATCGAGTTTTGTAGGAGAGTAGAACATGAGTACTTTTCTTGCCAGTGATTTGCTTTTAACTTAGGAATTCCAAGTTTAGTATTGGAACTATCTCTTGCACTTTTGAAATAACTTGTAGTGTTCTTATTAAAGAAGTTACATGTACTCATTCAGAAATATGGCGTTTCTTTATGTGACTTACATTTCGTTTAGCATGTTTACATGTGTCATTCTTTTGCTCGTAACTACTAGCTTTCGTTTTTCAAAAAAATTCTTAATTTTTCCTCTGAGTGGCCTCTATTTTCACTCGTCAAATCAGAAATCGTTTCGATAATCAACTTTATACAAAGCGTAGTATAAACAGAACCAGTGATAAAGTACTCGTATCCATTTAGGTTTTTGTTTGGTAGGTAGTCATAGTTTACATTAATGAGATCGGTAGAAATTAATACTGAGAAGGAATGTGAAGCAAATTGTAGCGAGGTAAGTAGTAGCGATACCTGCCGTGATACCGACAAACGGTATTTTATTTAAACAAATCGTCAACTTGTCTTCAACACTCGCCTCTTCTGAGCCTGCAAAACATGATATTGAATTTTTTGGTAGTTTTTCAATTTACGAAATCGTTTTGAGATTCTGAGCATCATTTAAAATTTATTTAACTTTATCTTAGTTAAATTTAGAAGTCTGTTGGCTCTGTTTTTCTGAACAGGAAAAGATATTTTTACTGCCATAAGTGCTGGGAAGCTGAGTAAATCTATGAAGCCTTTCCCTGTGAAATATAAGGGTAAGGAACGGTTTGTGGGGAGTGTAAGGCTGAAGTGTTGTACGAAATTTCTGGATTTCTTAAGTAGGGAGAGCACACTCGGCGGGGCTGGTAGTTTCGCGAGTGGCCAGTGAAGTTGGGAGTTTTCGTTGTGCAACTGGAAAGCGCTTGCTAACAACGACGAGTGTAAGTGGTTGAGGAAGTATAATATCATTTGAGCCAGTGAGGCATAGGATATGCAGTAGCTTAAGGTTTGAGCGGTACAGTAGAGATAATTTGATTATGTGTAACTTATCATTTGATTCGGGATAGGGGTGGGTCTGGTGCTGGTAGACACTGTCGAGGAATTGAATCCATTCTTTTAAGTGGGAAACCAAGAGGGCTTAGTTTTAGGGTTCAAGCCAGTTTTTAGGGGAGAGAGGTGGCGTAATTGTTCAAAACAGAACTTTTCATTTCAACCTTTGTGTAGAGTCGCAGGTTGTAGGGTAGTTTTGAAATCTTACTGGCTTTTACTGCTGCAGTTTTAATGATGCAGGCTTCAAAATGGAAGCCCGCCTTAAGGCCCAAGTTTTTTGGATTGAGGAAGATGTGTGAGTTGTTGCTAACAGTTTTTTGCAAGACTTAGTGCAGGCTTATGGATTAGCTGAGTGGCTTTTGTTGCAAAAGATCATTTTATTTTGGGGTGTTGGAATTGGATTTGACTTGTTAGATATGAATTTAACTTACTCATGAATAGTGGCAAACTTGAAGCATCAATAACCCGTAGTCTGTGGTGGACGAGGTTATCCATGGAATACACTTCTACAGTGCCGTTTTTACTGTCAACTGATCGTTTTGAACGCTTATTACATTGCTAAAATAAGTTGAAGGATTATATGATTTCACAGCTGTTATGCCGGAAAATAATTTTATTTTTTCGGTTTCAACTTTTAATGGATTTTTTCGTCACAAGAGTTATTAAATTTTGTTTATTGTACTTAGCTGTTAATCTGTTAACGGCAGAAAAGTTGAACAGTTAAACTGCTACAGTTAGATATATATTACCGGCATGGAATCACAAAGGTTTTTGTCGTCGGCAGCAATTAAATGCTCAAACTTTTGTATGCATGTCTGTACTACACATGTTATTGTTATATCTTCAGCATCCGGAAACTTGAACGCAAGGCCATTTGCAAATGCCTATAATTACACTTAATATACTTGTAGTTAATAAGCTTATTTTCATAAGAAAATTTTTTCTTTGTGCAGTCTACGGAGAAGTATAATTTTTTGAAGAATTTTGTAGTCAATTTCATAATGCTAATAATTGCTGAAATTTGTTGTAGTACACTCAAATAAACAATTGATCTATTAATCGGGTGGGTAATTTAAGTGGGTAATAGACTAGAAAAAAAAAAAGTTTTAGAATCATTAGAAGATAATAAGCGGTTATAGTGGCAGTCTTTTTTTTTTTTCAATGGCAAACCTTGGCGTTGTTTTCTGCATATTTTGGATGTGTAATAAGATCATTATCAACTGAACATCCGTCATTCATCACCTTCATCCTTCTACCGTCTTGAGTTTCGGCAAAGCATTGATGAACGCGTAAGCCATAGATTTCTTAAATGCTCAATAAAAACTT